TGGACGAAGGATAAGACCGTTTGCTTATGGCGCCACCTGCAGGACTCTACGAAAATAAGTTTCAATACTGCCGTCCTCCTTCCGGCTCTAGAAATTCAACCTCAGGCTTGTTTTGGGAATTTAATGAATTAATTTTTGTTTTAAAATAGAAAGATGTTGACAATTTCAGGACAAACCCTGGAGTTTGGAAAAGTATACTTAAATCCAAACACGAGGTGTGGTATTGATCGTCGCTGAAACCGCGGGGCTTCTGAGGATCCCAGGTGCGCACAGAAAATTTGTCTAAGGAATAATTTATTCTTGAAATAATGGAATAAAAAGTGCCATATTCCTGGTTTATCACTTGGTCCTTGGGCAGCCCTTAAGAGATGAGAAGCACTCGGCAGGCTAATGACATCCGCAATTGCAGTGATTAAGTGTCCTCTCGGAGGCCACGTCAGGATGGGTCAGTGGAGCAGACCAGCTCATTCTCCAAGCCTGTGTTTTACACCATTTTGGTAGAGGGTTAAGTGTCCTTCGTCAAAGTTCAACAGCCTGCCCCATCAACATGCGTCTAAAGGGTGATTTCAGCAACCCTGGAAGTGTGACAATTATACACAGTTACCGGGCTTAGCAAATGCTTCTTAACGAGTTGATGGTTTTGATTTTCTCTGAAAACAGGTTGAATTGATGATTATCATGTAATGTGAAATGAAAGGGACACAAATGCACTGAAAAGAGGCTCAATGCTGTGTTCAGAATTTTAAACGTGATACGTCACGCTGTGCCACATCCGTGCGCTGATGGCCTGCTGGGCGTCCTGCGCTGCTGGGGACATTTCGTCCCGTCCAGGGTACATTCACAATGAAAAGAGGAACACCCCCTCGGGACCACTCGGTGGGGAACCTCACGCGTGCATCTGGAATTCTCTGTGGCGGGATGACGAGCAGTACGAAGACCTTCGATAAGCGTTGGAGGAAAAATATTCCTCTGCTATCTTTTTTTTTTTTTTTTTAGTAGAAACAACATTTACTCTTTCGTTACTTTCTGCATTTTGAAGCACGTGCACGCATCCTCAGAAACTAAAACCGAAATGAAGGAAAAACAATTCGGGTCTCGTGGAACTGAGTTTACAGAATACGCCCAAAGAGAAAAGTAAAGGTGTCCGATTTGAAGCGTGAAAGGGCAGAAAACATTTCAAAACCCTTTAATAAAAATAAACACGGGGCATATTTCGTTCCCTGGAAAAGAAGTCGGCCGGGGTGGTTCTGGATGCAAGGAGGATGTCTTTTGGACGGTTACGTTACCTACCTTCCTCTCTCTGCCTCCTTCCCTTGCTCCCTGCCGTCTGTCTCATCCTTCCCCTCCCCCATTCCCTCCTCCTGTTTACTTATCTGTGTGAAATTCTGCAAGTCCCCTTCATTTTAGAACTTCCTAATACACGTTGCATAGAGCATAGTTAGACACAGTCATCGAAACAACACATTTTTTGAGTTATTTTATTTTTTGCTTAACAAAGCCAGTCGATAGCAGTAATTCAATTCTGAAATCTATGAGTGAAATCCATCGCATCTGATGATTGTTAGCCCCCAATAACCACACCGGCCACCTTTGTCTCATACCGTCATGGCCATAATTCAGGAACAGTGTTTAGCACATCCGGACAGCCACTGGAAAGAAACCAGGTGATTCAGAACGAGTTCCCACTGTGTTTATGTCCTTATTCTGGCGCAGGTGGGGTGTGATGTCTCTGTTGAGGTGGGGGCAGGGTAAAGGGCTTCTGGCATCTTCAGAGGCTTCCTTCCCTGCCAGTTCCTGTTGCACCTGGGTCCATGTCGACCAAGACTGCCAGACTGACTGGAGGTCCTGGACACACGTCACGTGGTGCTGACTGGCGGGCCAGGGCCGAGGGGATGCTCATCGTGAAAGTCACGTGATTGCCTGGAGGACACAGCGATGAGGGTGATGGGGAGGGGAGCTGCGAAATACCCAAACCGTTGCCACCTGCCTTGAGAACAGGCAGGGATCCTTCAACGCGGAGATGAAGACAGGGGGAAAGTGGCCGAAAAGACAGCCGTTCTCTCCACTCAGCCCCCGAGGTGCCCAAGCGAATCCGTGGCTCGGCGGTGAGCTCGCTCCGGGAGGAGTCTGTCTCGTTGATGGGTCCTTGGCCCCAAGCGCAGGGCCTGGCCCCAGTAGGCTTGGTCAGGGCTGGTTGAAAGAATGAACAAATGACTGAACGGATGAGTGAATGGTTTATCCCCAAGGAGCTTCATGGCTTTGCTCGGCCTAGGAGCGTCTGAATTTTAAAAGAAAATTCTTGGGGGGTGAAAATAATGAAAAAAGAAAGAATCCTTCTACAATGGCAGAATTTCAGGAAGCGATGGGGAGATGTTTGGGGTTCACGGGGAGAATCGTGCTGTCGTTTTTAGGGTATAATTTGGGGAAAAACATGTTTTTGGAGACCTCATAATTGGCCACTATTCATTTAGAAATACAAAGTCAACGTATTTTAAGAGTTCTGTGTTCCAAGACTCCAAAACATACTTAAAAAGTAATGCATTTCAGAAACACAAGCAAACTCTTTTCTAAGGCGGATGGGTGGGGAGGGGAGGGGTGGCTGCGGGCGAGCTCGTTTGCAAAATCCAGCGAGGACAGTGCCCCTGGGTGGCTACTGCGGCTGTTTCTTACCGTTCTTGTCCTTATTTGTTCTCATAAATAATATTGCTTTGCTTTTCCACTTTTTACAGTCTTTATCTCAATATTAGGCTATTTTCACCTTCTAATAATAAAACAACCAATAACAGAAGGAACTATTTATTGAGTTCCTTCTCCGGGCGGGCTCTGGGCGTGGGGCTTTGCTGTCTCTCCCCTCAGTGGGGCCAGCCAGGACGGGGTGTCACCCGAGCTCCTTAGGAGCATTCAAGTTCACAGACCCAGTGTCAGGATCTGCATTTCAACAAGATCCCTTCAGAGCCTGAGAGGCCCTGTCTCAAGTCAGTTATCTGCTGGCTCCCAGCCCAGCGAGCAAGGTGCAGACAGCCTGGGTGCACAGCGCAGCCCATTTCGGCTAAGCAGCCCTTCCTCTTGCTCAGTGGAGCAGCCTGGGTCCAAAGGCCTCTCTCTAGGTGTCACCACGGGCTCCTACCTGTCCTATAGTATGTTACATCCCTTCCCAGGACAAAGCCGCCTTCCTGGAGTCCATCTGTGACCCCATCTGCTCACCTGCCCTGTGGTCCCCGTATGCTGTCCAGGAAGTTCAAAGACTTTGGTCCAGAAGCCCAGGGTCCCCCCGCCCAGGCTCTGCCTCCCTCCGGTTGCCACACCATGGGGACCCTCCCCTCCCCAGGACGAATCAGTTTCGCCGTCTGCCCTGCACTTCCTGCACCCTGCCCTTGTCCCAGGCTCCCTGTGACACTCTGGTGACTCCTGCCTGTCTGCGTGGGAGGGGCTCAGGGAGACCTGCCCCCCCGAGGTGAAGGCTGAGGGTCCTGCAGCCCTGTTCACGGAGCCTTCTCTAGGTCAGGTGAGCTGTCCGTCTCAGAGGGCGGGCATGGGTGCTCAGCTGGAGGCTCCGGGGATGCGGTCCTGTCACTCCCTTGCAGACCCACTGACCATCCGCCAAGGCCCCGCCTGGCCCCTGTCACCCCCGCACACACGACGCCCTGTCTTTGGGGGGGTGTGAACTCCCCTTCCAGAATGCGACAGTGGGAGACCCCGCCCTGCCCTCGGAGACGCGGCCCAGAAGCACCGCGCACCGGTTCAAACTGGAAAGCCAGAGCCACTGCCAGTCCTGAGGGGAGCCAGGGGCCTTGTTTCACTGTCTGGTGTTTGACCGAAAACGTGAGGTCGAGGAAGACGGGCAGACCAGGCGCCGCTGACATTGAAAAGGTGGTTTATTACGCACCGCTCCCGAGAGGAGGGTGTGCCGTGACGGGGGGAGGGGGGAACAGGGGGCGCACCGGTGGTGGCCGGGAGGTGGGGGTGTGGGCCGGGGCCTTCACTGTGGTTTCCACGGAAGGGACAGGTGAGGCGGGACGGAAAGGCTTTGGACCGGCTGCTCTGGACGGTTCCCTCAGGCCCTGGGGTGGAGGGGCTGTGTGTCTCCAGCTGTCTGGTACTGGCTCTGGGGTGGCCAGTGGCCTGGGGTATGAGCGCCCAGTGAAGAGCTGGCTGGGGGTGTGGGATCTGGGTTGGTTTGCATTTGGAAAGCAGGCTTGGGACAAGTTGTTTGCTCTCTCCAGGAACTGCCTAACCCTGGTGGCGGCTGGTCCCCAGTGACTGCAAGGTCCCGGATGTCAGAGCACCAGGTACAAAAAGTGCAAGATCTGATTAATGAGGTCCCAGGCCTTAGAGCGCCTCTCGTCACAGACGCCGGGCCCACCAGACGGCACCCTCTAGTGACCTGCGTCTGTTCCTGGCACCTCGCTTCCAGAAGATTCGCCAGGGCTGGACCAGGAGGGGTTTGCTGAGGGTGTCAGACAGAAGACTCCCATGGGAGCCAATCGTCCAGCTCGTGACCCCTCCAGTGTCCCTCTGGGGCGCTCTGGACCGCCGCATGCTGGTACGCAGGTGGGCTCCGGGGCACTCCCGTTTCAGAGGCCAGTGCCCGTCTGTCACATTGCAGGGACAGAGCCTCTCCAGGTGGCAGGGCTCCAGGACAGGTGGGGCATTCCCCAGGAGAGACCAACCGATGGCTGGGCAGGGCCAGCGTGCATGCTGCTAACCCACTGCCGTAAGGAGACAAACCTCAGAAAAATACGTATCCTTTTTAGTTCAGCTTCTGTGGAAAGGTGCTTGGGAAAGGTCCCTTCAGACGCAGGTATTAGGACAGTCACAATTTTTATCCTACCAAGGAACCCCGACAGGCAGAAGGGGTTCTTCCCAATTCCACCTCCGGGTGAACCTGAAGCTGGGGCAAGGTCTGTGCGCCCACCAGGGCGGCGGGAGGTCCCACCGGGTCCCCAGGCCACATCCGGGCCCGCTCCTCACCTCCCAGCCGCCTTGGAAGGACAAAGACGAGACCAACGCTCTGGTTTTCAGTGCAAAACACCCTCTGGCTCCAAAAGGAGATAATTTTGCAGGGACTTCGGCACGGGTGACAGGGGTACGAGGTGAAAGCACTTTCTGCCAAACCGTTTGCGAATGGCGCAGCGGCAGAGATGCTGCAGGCAGCGCGGGGCGCGCGCCAAGGCAAACAGGGTCCGGTAGAAGGGCTGGTGCGCCTGGAGGGGAAGGCGGCGGTCAGTCCGTGCGCGGAGCCCCCGCGTCCTCCTCCCCGCCAGAAGACGCCGCTGGGGACAGCGGGCCGCCACCTCCCGGGGAGGAGCACCGTCCCGGTGAGGCGGTTCCCTCCGAGTCCTGGCGAACTCCGTTTTGGGGGGCTTCGGAAAATACAGGTCACGTCCTGGTCTCTGCTCTGTCCTGCCCCTCCGCACAGCCCAACCTCTGCTGACCCCGAAGGTGCGCGGGACTCAGGCATGAAGCATGAGGGGACATTTTCTAGAGACTTCTGGAAAACAATGCTGTCACTCCGCATTGAGTCGCCTGTGGACCTCGCAGGGTATGGCCTAGTGCCTGCGGCTGCCTCGGCAGGAAACCCACACACAGGAGCCAGAGCCTGTGGATTCAGGGGTCCCCACGCCTGCCCGAGTCTGGACCCTGCCGGCCCTCCCGTCAGCGCGGGACTGCTTCCGTTCCTGGCAGCACCCCGTTTTCCTGCAGGCTCTGGGCCGTGTGATTGCGGGGCTTCCAGAAGAAAAACAAATGCTGAACCCGCCCCAGCGCCCCCTTCTCGCCCTTGCTCAGCTGCTCGTTCTTAGTGGGTGTCAGCGCGTGAGCAGGGGCCGACGATTCTGTAGGAAGGGAGGGCGCCCCCTTACCTGAAACACGTCTTCAGGAATCACCTCCTTCCAGGATTCCGACACACGGAGCTGAGGGTAGGAGTTGACAAGGACCTCAATGACAGCAGGGGCGGACGCGCAGGTCTTCAGCACCTGGTGGGAGGTGGGGAGACCAAGTTTAGGGTTTGGGGTTCAGGTGGGGAGACAGGGTGGGGAGATATGGAGGTGCGCTGGATCTGACCGCTGCCACTTCCTGGCCGCGTGACTGTGGCTGAGTCACACAGGGGACAGTGGCGCAGTACAGCAGGGCTGTTGTAGGGCCCCTCGAGTTAGTTCCCAGAGAAGTACAAGGCCGCGCTGGCCGAGGGCCTGTCCTGGCATCACCACGCGTCTGGGCAGAGGGCTCTGCATCCAGGTTCCCAGGAGGAAGGTGCGGGCGCGGGCAGCAGCTGCCCAGGGAAAGGCCGTGAGGGGGCTGCTGGGCGAGTCAGGCCCAAGGACCACGGTCCCAATTTCTCACCTCAGTGTTCTAATGTCGGACACTGAGGGAGAGGAATTGCTTTGCCCTGCGTTTCCTCTCAATGTGACCTTGCCATTTTATTCCCACCATCCCCACTGTCAAAGGCTTCCTGTTTTCTTATTCGCAAATTTAGAATTCAAGTCCATCAGCTTCATCATAAAGATGGGAACACTTGGCTTTTTAAAAATACTTTTTTTTGTTATGAAGACTTTTGCACACAAAACTAGACCCAATAGTATGATAAATCCCATGTACCCACCATCAACTCATGGCCAGTCCTGCCCCAAGCACACTCTCAGCCCCTCTCGCTAATATTATTTTAAAGCAAATTCAATGTATTCTATCATTTCATCTATAAATGTTTCAGTGTGTCTCTTAAAGGACCCCTTAGAAGGAACAGTAACATGTCACTATAACACGTGAGAAATCAACAATAGTTTCTTGTATCATCTAATATCTAGTCATTGTTTAAATTCACAAATTTCTCTTAAATGCCATAATGTTAAAAAAACGATTTCATTTGAATAAGAATTGAAAAGCAAGTGAGATTTGTTGCTGTGAGGTAATTTTCAATCTCTCACATTTCATATGGGTTGTTTGTTGAAGAAACGAGGTCATTTGTCCTGTAGAGTTTCTCACGGTTGGGGTTTTGCGGCTGTATCCCTTTGGGGTTTGTGAACGGGCCCCTCTTCTGCTTGCTGTAAATTAGTTTTTGGGCTTGAAAGCTTGACCAGATTTAGATTTGATTTTGGGGAGGGGCAGGGCAACTTCATAGTTCTCTGTTTTTGAGCTTTAAGATTTACCAAGTTGTAAAATTGTTCTTTGGTTGAGAGACTTGAGTTTAAGCAATTTTTCTAAGATCAAACACCAGATACGTACAGCAGACAACAGAGCCAACAGCTAAGGCCAGACTGCACCATGCTCACTGGGGCCCCCAGCACCGGCAAACAGAGAAAGGTATTTAAATCATTCAGTATGGTTGTTCCCTTTCCAAGTTGCTCAGATTCTTTCAAAACCTAAAACTGTTTTAAAATACAGGAAGACAAAATAAAAAAATTCATATTTCTTTGTTCAAAGGTAAACACTATTGATATTTTGCGTAGACTAATGCTTTATGCATTTAGACAAAATACTAATATGTGTCACAAAAATGGGCTACTTTGAATATTATTTTGAAATTTGATTTTTGTCCACTCGAAATAGATTGTGAACAAAAATTACAAGTCAGCATTATTTTAGTGGCCAAATAATATTTCATTTTGTGTATTCAGTGATTTAACTATTATAGGTTCATATTATAAACAATGAACATTCTTGAACATAATTCTCTTTCTGCCACTAATCATTCTTAGATAATAAGGTAATTCCATCTCCTTCGTACACTGAATTCCTAGAAGTAGAAATACAGAATCCAAGGGTATGTACATTTTAAAGCTTTTAAGACATATTGTCAAATTGTGAGTAACTGGTACACTCTTTGAAGAACTGAGTATGGGAGCGCCTCTCTCTCTACCCAAACCATCCCATTAATTTTAATTTGATAGGCACAATATGGAATATTTACTTTCATTTTGGCTGACCATTTGTCTTTCTTCTTTTGTGAATTGCATTATTATGTCTTTTGCTTATTTTCTCTATAGTAAGTTCATTTTTTCATTGACTTATAAGTACCTTTTATTCATTAAGGTTATTTTCCAGGTAGACAATCATTTTGGCAAATAATCGTGTTTTCTCCTCAATATTAGTATTTCTTATATATTTTTCTTCTCTTATTACATTGGCTAGAGCTTTAAAGTTCAATGTTAAATGATAATATTGATAGAAGACATCATCTTATTCCTAATCTGAGTAAGATTGTCTCTAATGTTTCACCATAAATATAATCTTGGGTATTAGTTTCAGAGAGATAACTCTAAGTTAAGGAAATATCTTTCTAATTCCTAGGCCGCTACAAATTTTAGGATTTAATTTTATATTTTGCCTTTCTTTAACCAAGTTGATACAAAAAGATTTTCCAGTATCGACCCATTTTTGCCCTCATAAAACAGATTATTTGTCTATTTTTCTAAATATAATGGCAGACTCAATTTACTAAGATTTTGCATCTCTTAATAACTAAATTTGGTTCACAGTTTTAGTTTTTTGAGCTATTTTTGTCAGATTTTCAAATCACTTTATGTTAACTTAGTAAAACTGAGAAAATTTCCATTTCTTTAATACTCGAGGAGATTTAAAAAAGTAGATGATTATTGGAATTGAGAAGGCATGTCTAAGACTGTCATTTGATTGCAGGTTATAATTTGATGATTTCGATTTCTTCCATGGTTACTGGCGTAGTTGGTTTTGATTTCTTCTTGCATCTATTTTGTTAATCTACAGTATTCTGGAAAACGACCTTCATTTTAAAGAAACTTAGCACTGCATACACATCAGTCAGGGTTCCAGTATGAGATAGGTTTACCGATACAGGGCTGTTTAGCCAGGTGCGACCGTAGGGCACTACACGGCTCAGTGTCTCGCCGTAGAGCAGGCAGCAGCCCCCTTCCACTCCTGGGCCCGAAGGGTACAGAGTGGGGTGGGCTGTCTGACTGGGGCCAGTGATTCTTGGTGGGGGACACGCAGCCATCCTGAGGCACAGAGGGGGCCAAGCGAATGTACCCTCTCATCTCACCCTCCCTCCCTCCCTCCTGCTGCTGGGGGACCCGCACAGGCCACACCCAGCAAGGCAGAGGGCAGGAGCCCGCTGGGTGTGTCTCCTTATCTGCACGGGTGGTAGTTCCACTGTCTGGGAATGAGAACTCTTTCTCATCTGAAAGTCACTGTAATTGTATTTTCAATTTTTTTTTTCTTGTTTAGTCTTGTTGGAATTTTGTCTTTAAAAAATTTTTTCCCCCAAGGAATCAGCTATTGGATTTTGTTGATCTTTTTTTTTTTTAAATATTCTAACCTATAAGATTTTGCCTTTACTGTTATTAATACCTTTCTCTGTTTCTCTTTCCAGCTCCTTGGGTTGACTGCTCAGTTAATTTAGTCACCTTTTTTCCCTTGAGTCATAATGAAAGTGACTTTTTAAATGGCGTGGATTTTCCTTTGAACAGAGGTTTGGGCATCGCTGTGTTTTGAGGCACAATGTTCTCCCTGTCTTTCCTTTTAAAATAGTCTGCAACTACAGATGCAGTGGTCATCTAGGAATGTGCTATGCAATTTTCAAAAGGTTAAGTAATTATTTAAAATGAACTTTTGCTATTAATTTTCTAGTGTTTGCTCTTGGAGCATTAGAAGTTGTACTGTTTGCCGAGTTCAAAGTTCAACGTGTTCAACATAAATCACCTTTATGATTTTGGTTTTTACACATTTTTTGCCCAATCTGTGAAAGATTGAGATATGAATTAAAAATCACCTAGAATTATTACTTTTTCAGTAAGTTTCTTCATTTTGACATAATTTGGGCACATGGCGTATACTAGTTATCGCTTCACTATGGCCTGTATCCTTCATCAGTATCCAATGAGTCCTTTCTTCCCCTCATTTTGTGCCTTACCCTGTAATTCTTCTTTGTTGTATATTGATACACCATTTTTTTAAAGTATGTTTTTACTAGAATCACCTCTGCTCATTCTTCAACTTTTGTTTTCAAGTGCTGAGACTCTCTGTATTGGTAAGAGGGTCGTTTAAGAAATTCCTATTTATTATAATAGATACTCTATTTGTCTGACTTTTATCTCATTTTATTCTTTATGACTTTTTTATGCTTCTTGTTTCCTTTGTCGTCTGATTTCTGTGATACAGGTTTGTGTTTTCTTTGTATTTCTTAGATTTTGGATGTATATATTTTAAAATTCTACTAGTGGTTACTTTCAAAATAAAAATATTAACCTATATTTCTCTCAATATCTAAATAGTATCTTTTGTGTTCTACACGGGCCATTTACCCCTCTTCCCATCTCTCTATGAACCAATCCCTCCCCCTCAATAATACCTGGGGTTTGGGTTCCAGATTCTGATGATTACAAGATCATATTTTATGTTTCCATCTCTTTTGGAAATAATTTTGCATCTGGTTTTAAAACATGCTATACAATTATTTGAGTTGTGTCTATTTTACCTGGGTCGTAGGCTCACCAGCTGTTTGTTAAGCCATGTATTTCATAGGTGTCGACCAGCTCCTGTCAGAAGCCAGGGAGGGAGTGTGTGAGGTCCGCGTGACTCCGCGCCCAGCCCTGCCTTCCTGCCTTCGCATTATTCTACGGTCCTGACAAATGCAGTCCCAGACGCTGAGAACTGTGCACAGGTGCCACGGTCCTATGGTGCGAGAGGTGGCACCTAACTCGGGGCTGGGTTTGCAATGGGGCGGTGAGTTGGTCAGGGAAAGATTTCTGGGAGACTTTCGAGCTAAGATCTGACTATGGACAGGCCTTACCCAAGGCACGGAGAGTTCTGGGGACAAGAACGTTCTAGGTGGAGAAAACCTTCGCCCAGCCTGGAAGGCGAGAAGGACCAAAGCCTGTTGGTCGGCGTGGGGCTTGACGTGGGCAGAAAGGGGCCCGAGACTGGAGAGAAAAGCAGGGTTGGGCTGTGGACAGCGTCGCCTGGGAAAATGCAGGGCACTCGATCCGCAGGGCCTCGCTGCCGC